GCCCAAGATCCCGAGAGGAGACTGGGGGAGACGGGATCGCAGCATGGCCATCCCCTTTGGGGGGTGATTTCTCACTGTCTCTGACTCTCTAGAGAGTGTACGGGCCCTGTAGCAAAAATCTCTCTGTAAAAAAGACCAAAAGCCCTAAGAAAGGGGGGTGTCGGGCTGGCCTCATAGCACAGCAGTTAGGTGCTGAGTGATACCACGTGCCACGTGCATGTGTGTGTGCCCCAAACCCTGACAGGATGGCGATGTGGAGGGAAAGGGCTGCAACATGACCGTGCCCCATCGCAGGGGCTTCTCCACGTCTTCCTGAGAAAATACTGGGTGAGCACTTTCGTGCCTGAACCCCCCTCTGGTGAGCGTACATGCCCTCTGACCATTTCCTTTTTAAGTTAAATAAGCAGAGAGGCCTCCACTTCATGTTGGGTGAAGCGTGCCTTTTCTCCCATGTCCGTGGGCTAGCATGGTCATCAGGATGGGAGGCGGGGAGGACGCAGAACCAGCAGGTGGGGACTAGTGTCCGGCAGGATTTAGGAAAGGACTGCTGGTTTAACCCAATCTCTGATTATTTTAAGCTGCTCATAGACATCTGTCACTGTCACTGCCGCTACCACTCAGACTTGAGAGGGAGACGCTTAGGATGCTCTGTTGTCCACAGCCATCAGGGTTGGCTTGTCCAGGACTGCCACTGCGTTCTCCGTGACCCCGTCCTGACTCGGGCCTTCTCTGCTCTTCTCCCGGTCGCCCCAGGTCTGCAGCCGCCGCTGGCTGTCTCTCCGTGTCCTCCGTTCTCCGTTTCTGGCCCTTGCTCTGGCATTCTTTCTGCTTAGTGTGTGCACTCGCATCTGCCAGGGAGTCCTGCCCAGCTTCGAGGCTCTTTGACATTTTCTCTTCTCAAGGGGAGAGACGCAGTTGCGCCTTCCCCGTCTTCGACAGCGCTTCACATTGCACAAGGGGGCACAGCTGTCTCCCCAGCAGCCTGTGTGTTTCTGTTCGGCAAAGACCCTGCACCAGCGTCTTTCTTGCCACAGGGGGCCTGTGTGAGGCCCCGGCTCTGCAGACAGGCTGGCGTCCTCTCCCAGCCCTCCTCTTTCCACTGGCACTTAACCATACCATCAGCCTCGCCTGGGAACCCGTTTGAAATGCAGAATTTCGGGCCCTCCCCAGACCTACTGAGCTGGAATCCAGTGATTCTTACACCTCATGCATTTAAAATTTGAGAAGCATTGCCCTAACACCACTCCCTTAGCGTGCTGAAGGAGTGGAGATGCATTTGAGTGTGTGTGTGTGTGTGTGTGTAGTTTTGGTTTTTTTGAAGTTTTTGCTATAGGGCACTTGTGCTTGCTGGAGAGACAGAGAGACAAAAAGTGAGGAATCACCACCACCCCCACCCCCCCGGGTGATGGCCACACTGCACTCCCTCTCCTCCATTCTTCTCTCGGGATTTTGGGCACACACACCCAAGCATGAGTTTTAAGCCTCTGGGTCCAGGACTCAAACCATGGTGGACCATGTGGGAGTCCAGTGATGTAACCATTACACTATCCGCTGCTCCTGCATTTGAGTATTGTTCCTCCCCTCCAGATAACCTCCTGACTCATGGGCACTATCTCTCGTCTAGCATAGTTCTGGCATATTTCAGATGCGCAGAAGCTCTTGCCGAATCATCCAGCAGGGCCCGTGGTGGTGTTTGAGCCGCTCCTCCCTTGGTAGGCCGTGGAAGCGTGTTAACTGTGCACGTGCTTTGCTAGGTGCGTGCGGCTCACGCTGTGAATGGGAGTCAGCGTCTGTCTTTGGTGTTTATAGATTACTGAAGGGAAGTGGATACCCATCAATTAATTCTGAGCAAGGCAAAGTGTGATCAAGTCTGTAACTGCACAGACATCACCAGAGGCCTAAGGGAACCCCACGGGGGTGGCAGTTATTCACGGGTCAGGGGTTATGGGACGTTGACAGACACAGAGGGGGAAGAGGCATTCCAGGCTGGGGGTGGTGTCCAGAGGCCCACGCCTGAACCTGCACATACAGTAAGACTTGGAAGAGCAAGGCGGAAGTTAGATCGGGGGCAGGCTGGAAGGCAACTGCATTCCCCGTGTTCTCCTGGCGAGGCGTGTGGGCCGCTAAGATACACCTGCAAATCACTCGATGTTGGTGCAGTTGAACATTCAGTGGTTTCTTGAGACCTGCCCTCCCCTCCGCCCTGCTCCTCCCTTTCTAACTTGCTCGGTGTGGGAGGTGGTGGGAGATAGGGGAGGGGTTGGGAGAGGTGCGGACAGGCCTGAATGCTTTAGCTCTTCACATGGGACTGCAGCCCTGACTCTTTTTTTAGTGTCAGCTTTAGCCACTTCCTCCCTCACCTCCTTCCTCAGTGACTACCCAGTGAGGCCCCATGAAACAGAGACACCGAAACTCGTCAGTAGAGGTGCAGACAGTGTACTCAAAAGTGCCATTCAAACCGCAGGCCAAACCCTCTGTCTTATCATACTTACCATTCGTTTCTCAGCCCCGCAGGGTCGGGCTCACTGGGCATCGCTGCTGTGCGGCGGTGCACAGGCGACCCCTGCCTAGATTCTGAGCTGGCAGGCAGGCCACCTTGTTAGAAACCTACCTGAACAAGGTAGCCAGCATGCTTACTTGGCCCTGCACGGCAGAGGGTGCACTGGAAGTCAAGCCTCCACGTGTTGGCCTTAAACCTTCCCCTCCTTTCTTGATCCTGTGACTTACTTCAGCCAGCTGCTCTTTCAGATAACCGTCCCTACCTTCTGCCACCTTTGAGCTCCCTCTCTGACCAGCTTACCAGTTCTGAGCTGAAGGTCGGTTTGAAAGAAGAGGTGAAATTCATCAGAAATGTCGTCCCGTGTTTGTATCTCAGCCGAAGGGCCCTTCAGTGAAATAGGAGTTCGGTCATCGAGCACAAAGCCCTGCTTGAAGAGCTAGGACCCAGCTCTCTGTGGAAAGAGTATTTGGTCTGGAGGGAGTGACATTTGCTAGGGACTGGACAGTGTGTGCTGCACTGCAGGCGCGTACCCGGTGCCAGGGGAAGGAGAGGGTGCCTGCTTGGAAGTCAGGGAGGCCCCCCAGGAGGGAGCATTTGAGCTGGATCTTCAAGGATGAGGACTAATTCACTGGGCAGAAAAACAAGGGATTGTGGTTAAGGCGCTGGACTCCCACATGGCTGACTGTGACTTGAGTCTCAACCTGGTGGCTTGAAAAACCATGCCAGGCTCATGTGTGTGCCTGCCCAGAATCACAGGAGAGTGGAGGAAAAGGGATTGCAGTGTGGCCGTCTGCCCTGGGGGTTATTTCTCACTTTCCCTCTCAGTGTCTCGTTCCTGTGAGTGTATACACCGTGTGGCAAAATCCATAAAGAAAGAAAGAGGGACTAGCAGTTAGCATAATAGCTATGTCACTGGTCTCCCATGTAGTTGACCACGGTTCAAGTCCTGGACCCGGAGGCTTAAACTCACGCAGGGCGCATGTGCATGCGTGCCCAAGATCCCGAGAGGAGAATGGAGGAGAAGGGATTGTGGAGTGGCCAATCCCTCTAGGGGAGTGATCTCTCGCTTTCTGTCTCTCTGTCTCTCTCTGTCTTTCTGGTGAGTGCACGCACCCTGTAGCGAAAACCTCTCCAAAAAAGAAAAGAACAAAAAAGAAAGAAAGAAAGATGGGGTCAGGGTCCCAGCAGAAGAAACAAGACAATTTGAGGCAGTTGTCAGCAGCTTAAAAGAGAGGCATGCTCAGGGATGATCCTGGGTCAGGTGGCTAAGGGTCAGGTTGGGATTTGGATCCAACTTGTAGCAGTAGGGACCCCCAAAAATGGGGACTGATGTGACCAGGCTGAATTACATGTAGAGTTCAACAGAGACTGTGTGTTGGCTGCCAGACTTCCGGGAATGAAACAACAGATTGCTCGCTTGGTGGGGCCCGTGTTTCAGTAAGGACTCGCAGGTCGGTCTCAGTAAGGACTCGCAGGTCGGTCTCAGTAAGGACTCGCAGGTCGGTCTCAGTAAGGACTCGCAGGTCGGTCTCAGTAAGGACTCGCAGGTTGGTTATGTCAAGTTACCCGTCTGCTCTTGTCCAGGTACCTGCTGACCTCCATAGAGCAGACACAACAGCTACAGAGATCTCACAGCCACTCTGTCACGGTCACACCTGTCCCTTCACCCATCATCCCTAATCTCTGGGGACTTGCTCCTCATCTCTCAACTTGAGACTGTCATATAAATGGAATCATGGGCTCTGTGACCTTTTGAGTTCCATCTAAATTCCTGTGTTATTGATATATTTTCTTTATGTTTCTGAGTAGTTTTCTGTGGTGTGGTTGTAATGCAGTTTTCTTTTGTTAAAGAGATTTTTGCTATAGGACACATGTACTTGCAGGATAAACAGGGACAGAAAGCTAGAAATCACCCCCCTGGGGGGATGGCCACACTGCAATCCCTTCTCCTCTGCTCTCCTTGCGATTTGGGGCATACACGCACATACACCCTGTGTGATTTTTCAAGCCTCCAGGTCCAGGACTCGAACTGTAGTCAGCCATGTGGGAGTTCCACACCTTAGCCACTATGCTTCCTGCTGGCCCCAACACAGGTTTTTTAAAACCACTTGCCTATTGGAGGATATTTTCCAGTTTTTGGCTATTATGAATAAAGCTGAGATGACACTGTTGGCTGTTTTTGTTTTGTTTTGTTTTTGTTTCATTTTTATTTTGAGAGAGAGACAGGCACTCCCAACAGGGCTTCCTGTCACCATCCACCTCCAGTCTCAGCTGGCATGCCCCAGGGAGGGGTCCCAGGATGCAAACCCAGGACCTTTCCCGGCTGGGTCCAGTTGCGATACCACTGCACCACCACCTGGCCCTGTTGGCTGACGGTTTTACTCCTGGTCGTTGTCAGCTCCTGGGGCAGGAGCAGTGTCTCAGAGCGATTTCCACCCAGGAGAGGTCTGTTCTGGGAACCTTCGCTTTCTCTGGCAACACATCTCATGTCACTCCCCACCGGGACTTGCCCCACCTGTGACAGGAGCAGAACCTTTAGTGTCAGACTACACCGCACCCTGTTGAGCCAAAGATCCCACTAGGGCTGGGCTGGAAATAGAAGGTCTCCTGGTCTCTTCAAGGAAGAAATCGGGAAGCGAAGGGGTGTGTGTGCGTGTGTATAAGTGAGTCAGCATGGAGGTCGACAGTGCGGTCTCAGATTCCAGTTCCTCTTGCTTCTTCCTGGCCATGGATGTCCTAACAACCAGCAGGGACCTCAGCGCTCCTCCCGTGTGCAGGGATTTCACAGCCTTGTCCTCAAGGCCACATGTGTAGGATGGAGAAGTGATCGCTGTGTGTGGAGAGTTGCTTTTCTAAGTATGTAGGTGCCATCATGAACACAATAGACGCTCCCCGGATTCGTGCTGGGCTGCTGCTACTGCCATAACTGCTCTCCACGGGGAAACCTGATCCAGTTGAAGCCCTTACTTTGCAGATGCAGAACCTGAGGCCGGGGAGAGGACGGAGACTTGCCTGGGCCATGCAGACAGGTTGCAGCGCTCGACGCCACAGAGGGGGCCTGGTCATCTTGGCAGGCTTTCCCGGTTCTCATCCCGGTTTCAAATCTAACACCCCTCAAGTAAGAAGTGGCTTTTGTCGTGACTTGTCTACTTTCTCCGCCTCACATCCTATCTTGTTTTTGTTTATTTGTTTTTGAGAGATTTTTGCTACGGGGTGTAGTGCTCACCAGAGAGAGAGAGAGAGAGACAAAGAGATGGAAAGCAAGAAATCATACCTGGGGGGGATGACCACGCCGCAGTCCCCTCTCCTCCAGTCTCCTCTCAGGATTTTAGGCACGCATGCAGGTGTGCCCTGTGTGAGTTTGAAGACTTGAACCACAATCGACCACGTGGGAGTCCAGTGCTTTAACCAAAATGCCACCTGCCGGTCTCTACTTCCTGTCTTTTTAATATGTACACTTGAATGATAGAGGTTACTTTGATTTTTAACTTTATCAAAGAATATGTGTTCATGATTTTAAAAACCAAGTGTAGTGGAGGTACAACACATATATACATTTAAGTTACCCATTGACGTTGACTTGGGGCCAGCAAGTGGCATGGTGACTAAGGTGCTAGACTCCCAAACAGCCAGTCAGGGTTCAAGTCCCAGACCTGGCAGCTTGAAAATCACATCAGGTGCATGTGCATATGTGCCCCAAATCCCAAGAGGAGAATGGAGGAGAAGGGATTGCAGTGTGTGGGGGGAGATTTTTCTTTTTCCCTCTCTCTGTCCCTCTCCAGTGAGCACACATACTCTATGGCAAAAACCTAAAAAATAATAATAATCTCCCTTCTATTGTGTAACTCCATCACCTCTCAATTTCCCAAACAAAACTGTAGGCAGGTGTTAAAGTCGCAGGGCTTAATAGTAAAAACCACGCATAGAACCCTGTAGAAGAGGGGAGTACTTCAGGTCATGCTGCAGAGCTCCCTCCATTCAGAGAGAAGTTCTGTACCCATCCTTGGGGAAGCTCCATGCTGAGTCTTTGCTGAGTTTCAAGGACGTGGTTTGGGCTTTCCAGCTCGAACTGGCTTTCTGTAGAAGCAAATTGGGGAGCGTGGTACCAGGGAGCCCTGTGATAACTTGCTTTGTAGACACTGTTCATGGCCACTTTCCCGGAAGCTACATGGCTGAGAAGCTGGCGTGTGTGCGTGGGAAGCCAGCACCCTAAGCCAGCCCAGGCAGTCCTCGTGTATTCGGGAGCTTCGAGCTTCCCGCCTTCAGAGCGTGGTGTTTGCCTTAGGGCCATTTCTTTCTTGTGTCTTGTCTTGGACTTTCAGTCCAACTTTTCCAGGTACTCTTTCTGTCAGTTCCATCTCATTGGTGCTGTTTTATGGTTGTAAGTGTTTAGAGGTGGGTTTGTAACCAGAGTGAGTAAGGTAAGGCTGTATACCACGCCCAGGTTTCCTGACCACCAGGTACATGTTTCTTAGTGACAGTTTTTTCCTAAATGGTACCAGTCCACATTTCTTTGCCACCTTAGAGGAGAGAGTTGAAGAAACAGCACATAATTGCGGATCATTGGACAAAGGCGCCTTTGCGTGCGCTATTACTAGGGAAGCATTCGCCCTGTTAAATAAGCCAGAGTTCATAACAGCGTGGATATTTTCTCATTTATTTTGCCCTTTTCTGGAGAGGTTTTTGCCTTAGAGCTTGCCGGAGAGAGAGAGACAGAGTCAGTGAGAGGGAAAGTAAGAAATCAATGGCCACACCACAGTCCCCTCTCCTCCATTCTCGCGGGATCTTGTGCACATGCACGTGGCCTGGTGTTATTTTCAAACCTGCGGGTCCTAGACTCAAACCACGGTTGGCCATAGAGGAGTTCATTAATTTGAAAATTTTCTCAATTGGTTGAGGACTCAACTGGGTGTTCCTCTCTGACTCCACCAGTTAACAACTCAAGCGCCATTCCTTCTTTCACGCAGTAGCTGTTTGGCTGTGGGCAGGCTGCTTAACTGCTCAGTCTTGGTCTCTTCATCGTACACTGCAACACACAGCAGCTGCCTGCGGCACAGGGCTCTGTGAGGGCCGAGGAAACGTGCGTAATGGGGACTTGTGCAGCTCACGATGTGGAAAAGGGGGTCGGTAAATAATCATTTCTCGCAAAGTGACATTTTACAACTGAGATTACAAAGGAGAGTATTTGGATTCTAAAAGCCCCTCACAGAGGCATCTATCACGGGCTTGCAGAACTGGAAGGTCCTTTAATAGTTTTAGAACCAGTCCAGGACCCCTAAACATCTTAGGTGATAGACTCTTACATTTTAGGATAAACTGCAATCTACCCCCCTGTGATCACAGAGTCTGCATCCCCCATGGGGAACCCCTTCTAGGATTTGAAGATACTCCTCACGTCCCCCATGGCGTCTTCTCCGATCTCTTAGCCAAGCCCCATGGTGTTCCTTCCTGGCCCTTCCCCGTCTCGGTCTCCCTCTTCTAGACAAGGTCAGATTTGCCGCTCCCCTTAGCCAAACGGAGGACGTAGGGTAATCTGGCTAGAATATCCCAAGATAGGCCTGTCTTCTCTCTCTCTCTCTTTAAGTTTATTCATTTATTTCGTCCGTTAGAAAGCATAACAGAGAGAGAGAAAGACAGGCACCCCCTCCCCGTAGCACCTTCTTCCCGCAGTCCACCCACAGCCTTAGCAGGCCCAGATCCCAGGCCTGTGGGTGGACTCTGGGCATGCTCAGGGCGGTCCTGGGACAGGAAGCCAGGACCTTTCTCATGTGGGCCAGTTGTTCCGTCACTGTGCACCACCTGGCCTCGGCCTATCTTCTCTTTTTTTTTGGAGAGATTTTCGCTGTAGGGCGCGTGCGCTCGCCAGACAGAGAGAGACAGAGAGACATAGAGACAGAAAGCGAGAAATCACCCCCCCGGGGGATGGTCATGCCGCAATCCCTTCTCCATTCTCCTCTCGGGATCTTGGGCACGCACGCACATGCGCCCTGAGTGAGTTTTAAGCCACCGGGTCCAGGACTCGAACCACGGTCGACTACATGGGAGTCCAGCGACATAGCCATTACGCTAACTGCTGCTTCCCCGACCTATTTTCTCTTAAAGCTTTCTTACGGGGCTGGCCGATGGCGTAATGGTTATGTCACTGGATTCCCATGTAGCTGACTGCAGTTCGAGTCCTGGACCCAGGGACTTAAAACTGAACACTGGGCATGTGTGCGAGCGTGCCCAAAATCCTGAGAGGAGAATGGAGGAGAAGGGATTACGGCACGACCATCCCCCTTGCGGGGGGTGCCTTCTCTCTTTCTGTCTCTCTCTGTCTCTCTGGTGAGCGCAGATACCCTATACCAAAAATCTCTCAAAAAAACCCAAAAGCTTATTTATTGCACAAGAGAGAAAGGCAGAGAGGGGTATCCCAACAGGGCCCCAACACAGTGGCCACGATCCCGGGATTGTGGGCAGCACATGTGTGCCCAGCCTATACAGGGAGATGAACCATGATGTGGCCACGTGGCCGCAGCATGGCAGAGCGCTGCCCTTCTGCTGCACCACTGCCAGTTCACCCTGTCGATGTTCATGCAGCTTCTTCTTTTGTCTTTTTAATTTCTAGATGAAAAATAGAACGCATGCACAGCAGGTAAGCACAGGAAGTTGAATGCACTTTAACCTTCATCCTCTCCTGTAGCCCACTACGGTGATAGTCAGAGGGGAGGGTGCCGGTGGAATGCTGCAGCCAGAGAGCAGCCCCTGTGTCAGACTAGACGTCCAGGAGAGCTGAAAGCGTCCCAGGGGAGGGTTTGGAATAGGTCCAGAACTGGAGACACCAACATCGAAAACAGGAAGATTAGCTGAAAGTCTGTGTCGAAAGCAATTAGATGCCTACATCCTACATTCCCTCCCCCACTGTCACAGGGGATGGCAGTTTTAATCTTAGGTATTGAACCAGAAGCTCTGAAATCAGGCATCCCAAACATAGACGGGGTGGAATCTGGAGCAGCCCGAACATACGGACTTGGAGGAAAAGTGCCAAGCAGTGAGCCGTCACCCCCCATCTCTTACGGTTTTCCGTTTTCAGAGTATCTGCTTCGAGGCGCTCCTATGAGAGATC